AAAATATGTATTGAACAAAAAATATATATATTGAACAAAAAAAAATGTATTGAAAATAGAAACTTAAAAGAAATATTTATTGAAACTTTAAAAAATATTACATAAATAATTAGGCATTAAAACAAACAAAAACAAAAAAAAAAAAAAAAAACAAAACAAAAAACAAAAAATAAAAAACAAAAGCAAAACAGTGACTGGGTTCATCTTTTTTTTTTTTTAAATAAAAATTAATGTTTTAATTAATTAGGTTTTGAATTAAAATATTATTAATTATACCTCATAAATGAGGTTTGGTCAAGGTGGTGCAAATAGCAAAATAAATTCTTATTTGGCTATTTACACCACCTATGCAATTATTAAAAGTTTTCACCTTTTACAATTTCAAGATACTTTATATCTACTTCTGGTCAAAGGGTGGTGCAAATAGCAACACCCTATCTTTATCATTGTTAAACTATTTCAGATTTAACTCTAATAGCCCTCGTAAAACTAGTTAGGAGAAAGGCTAATCCAAAACTAACAAAAAAAAAAAAAAAAAAAAACAAAAGATGTTGATAAGAATCAAACCCATAATCTTGAGTACAAAGGCGAAACTCCAGCACTTATTTTTTAGTACGTACTTACTAATGTGACCTTTGGTAGTTCATACCAAATTGAAGCATATGCTTCATTTCAACTAAAAGTCTAAGCTGATAGTTAGAAAGTACATTAATGGTTATATGATCCCAAAAGCAGTCTTAAAATCAAGAATATAATTAGTTGATTAATTAGGTGATTAATTAGTTGCAGAGTATCTGATATGACCAGCAAAATATCACATTGAATTGCTGCCAACCTGACTGGCGCAATTTCAGGTTAGCCAATGCGAAAATTAAAACGCAGTATTATATATGTATATTGTTGACATGATCGAAAACGTGTAAAGAAATACTCCGTCGAAATTATATTATAAGAGATAGATATAGAAACAGTTGAGGAATGCATGTGCTTGTAGGGTCACTCAGGTCTGAGGCTAGCGGTGGTTGGTGATTCAAGTGGAACAGCTGCATGTGCACATACATCTTATCGATATGAGATTCATATCTCAATTTTATCATATGCATATATGTTGTTTATAATTTCCCTATATTCTTTATAATATAAGCAATGCGGGATAACCCCAACCGAATTGATCAAATTATTTGCTTAATAACTATAAAATTTTAAATTTAATTTTTTATAAGAGTTGCTTATTATAGCATTTTCAGTTTGAGATGGTCAGCTGTTACAATGTAGTATCTGTTCATATATAATTACTTTTTAGGGATCAAATTCATGACCTCCAATTTGAGAGAGTCACTTCGTGCCACTAGACCACAATGTCATTGGCAAAATAGGTCTGTATTGGAAATGAAGGTTTAGGTTTGATTTTAGCTTTGGTTTCCTTTTGCATCTTCTTTTGTTATCCGAGTGGTTGTGTTGGTTTGTCCTAGACTGCTCTAGTCATAAAACCTATAGAGAGATTAAGGATTTTCCAAGTATGCATCAAATTTTGCAATTACGTGTGAGATTAGTCTAATGGAATATCAAAATGTACGTCCCGGGCCAAAAAAAAAAAAAAAAAACATGAGTATTATAATGATATGTTGTCACTTTCGAAAATACTATATTGTCGTCTACCAAACCCTTAGGTTCCAAATTTGTATATAAATCCACCATCACATCTACTTGAGCCTAATATATCAAGCAGACGTTCTCTCTTCTCTGGTCATATACTACTAGACCAGACATCACTGAAGAGTTGTCTTGTTAATTATATTCAATGGCTATTTCACCATTCTCCATTCTCTCTCTCCTCTTCTTCTTCTTCTCATCTCTAAGCTTCTGCTCCCATGGAGTTTTTGGCTATGGCGGCGGTTGGCAGGACGCTCACGCAACTTTCTACGGCGGCGGTGATGCTTCCGGCACGATGGGCGGAGCTTGCGGCTATGGCAACCTGTACAGCTCAGGCTACGGCACCAACACTGCGGCGCTCAGCACTGCTCTCTTCAACAACGGCTTGAGCTGCGGTTCTTGCTACGAGCTCAGGTGCAGCGCCGCCGCCGGAAAATCGTGCCTCCCGGGGAGCATCACCGTCACGGCGACCAACTTCTGCCCGCCCAACCCTGGCCTCCCCAACAACAATGGCGGCTGGTGCAATCCTCCCCTCCAACACTTCGATCTCGCCCAGCCTGCCTACCTGCAAATCGCTCAATATCGTGCTGGAATTGTCCCTATATCTTTTAGAAGGTATAAACATTTCGCTCTTTTATTTATTATTTATTTATTTTTTATGACAAGCAAACCATATGACTCGACGGAGGATGTTAGTAAGAATTGAACTCTCAAGAAGAGGGTTTTTAATGTTTTTTTTTTTTTGGTTGGGGGGTGGGAGTGGGGGTTTGAGTGGATCAATAATCTAGACTGGTTTACTTTATTCTGGTCTAGAGTAACAAGGCAGAATTTACCTTGTACACCAGCGGATAGTGACGACTGGTGTCTCTCGTCACCCAAAAATAAAAGAATTGAATTCGAGATATTCAGATACAAGAGTTAGGCTCCAGTATCTCGAACATCCTTTTTGGGGCTTGACTCTTTTAATTTTACATTCCCTAAGGGCCGGGGTACAACAGTATGATAATTTTAGTCGAGTTGGACTTGAATAGTTCAAGTTGACTTGAGGCAAACTCGAGTTTTGATTTTTTGAATGAGTCGAGCTTCGAGCTTTGACTATTGAGCTCGGGTTAGCTTGATTACACTCCTAATTGAACCTTGTTCAGTAACAATCATGCTAGGAGTGTTACTACTGCATATACGCAAAAGTTCAACCTTTTGACCTTAGGGTGTTTTTAGTTACACTACATACCCTATGTGTTCTCATAAACAAGACAACATTATTGATGCATACTTTTGTTGTTTTACAGGGTACCCTGCAAGAGAAAGGGAGGAATAAGGTTCACCATTAATGGCCATGCCTTCTTCAACCTGGTGCTAGTGACAAATGTTGCAGGGGCAGGTGATGTGCAATCTGTATCAATCAAGGGCTCTGCAACTGGGTGGCAATCCATGTCAAGAAACTGGGGGCAAAATTGGCAAAGCAATTCCAATTTTAATGGGCAGACCCTCTCATTTAGGGTCACTAGCAGTGATGGAAGGACTGTCACCAGCTTCAATGCTGCCCCTGCTAATTGGCAATTTGGGCAGACTCATGAGGGAGGCCAATTCTAACTTCACAAATTAAATAAAATAAATAATTTCAGAAATTTAATCAAGAAAAAAATAAGTTCGATCTGTACATGTCGTTTAAGGGTGAGTTGGTTTGGGAGAAGTTTTTTTTCTTAGGATAAGGCCCTAAGTGTCCTTATGGTGCCTCTTTTGAGTGGTTCCTGTCCTGTTAGGTGTTTTTAGAGCGGTGATTTTTTAATACCCGCTTAAGTCTATATAGCGCATAATATTATAGCATATATAGCCCTATATATAGGAATAATTCTCTCATTTTTGGGTTGATTTTTACTTTTTCTTTTGTTGTATTTTGTCAAGAGTTATTGCTACAAGCCTACAATGTTATGCTTTTATCCATATTTGGTGTGCAAGCATAATTTGGCAATTTAGTATCAATGGAAATTATATACTTTTCCTTGCATTTTACTTCACCATTTATCATATTCCATCTCATATATTTAAAGTTTGAACGTTAAAAAATAAATTACTATGTCATGAACATACAACAGTATAGTCAAAGTAAATATATGCTAATCTATCATTAGGCTAACCTAAATGAACTATCATATATAGCTTACTCCAAATACTTTAATTAGCCTGATCCAATGATATTGTAGACTAATTCCGAGTCCCCAACAAGATAATTTGGACCATTTCTCATATAGTAGCATATGAGAATTGCCCGAGAAGTGGCTTGGCCTAGTTTGCAGACTCTATTCCCACGTACTAGTTTGCAATAACTAAGAACGTTATTAGAGTATCGGGGACACCTCATCCACGAGACTGCAGGTGTAACATAGTTAACTTATCACTTAATTTTGATTTGATCACTATTAGTTGCTTGACTTTTAAACAACTAATATAAATGTTTGATTAATTAGCTTTGAAAAAATGGTCAAAAAAGTATCGAACTTTAGCTGAAAAGATGGTGCAATTGCACCCATAAAAATTTTCATTTTGATGCAATAAACCCCAAAAACTGATTAATCATTAGGGATCCGGCCCCCATCTGGCAAAATTTCAAACAAAAAAATTGAGAAGGAGACCAAGGTCGCCTTTTCCGGTTGAGAAGGCAACCTAGATGTGGTCGCCTTCACCAGCGAGAAGGCGACCTTGGTCTCCTTCTCCGTGACCCGCGACCGGTCGTCGGTCACTTTTTTGCCTGAAATTTCACGGAGGGCGGCGAGAACCCTAATGACCTGTGATAGCAGGTTATTAATCGGTTTTTGGACTTCATTGCATCAAAAAGAATTATTGATGGGTATAATTGTACATTTAAAAAGTTTAGGGAGCTAATTGACTTTTAAGCTAAAGTTTGAGGGTCTTTTTGACCCTCTTTCCATTAGCTTTTTGTAACAGCTTATTACTCCAAAAAGCTGCACAAAGCATATTTTTCAATCAACTTTTTTAAGAAAGTCATTTTATATATAATCAGCTAATTTAGTAAACATCTTTTCACAATTGTTTAATGTTATCAACTAGTAAAACTCCCTACAATATTTACCAAACACCCCCTATTTATATATTTAATAGTATTCATAGATTAGTAAGAGTGTATATCCCGGCAAATTGCCTGTCTACAAAAGTTGAAATTGTCGTGTGATACAGGCATGGGAAAAGTGGAAAGCTAGACGACACCGGCGTGCGTTAGGAGTTTGCATGCAAGACTTCCATTACATAACCTCACTATTTAAATGCATAGGGAGTAGCTACGTTGTTTCAACATATACATTATACATACATACAGGACTGGACTATATATCATCATATCCACGGCGGAGCTAGCTAGCGGCGTTTCCATCATGGCAAGTGGCGGAGCTAACACTAGTCGAGAAGTTGTTCAGTTTCAGTTGAGTCCCTCCACCACTTTGCTCAAAATTCTTCGGGGCAACATCGCTCAGTGGTCATTCGACGGATCTTCCGACGCCATTGTAACCATTTCTTCCACTCCTTGCATGCTACTTAAAGTTTTAATCTTTCCCAGTTTTCATATGATATATATAATAATGTTTTCTCTAAGGTCGATCCTACTAATGAGAGAATGCTCGGGGGAGGTGGCGAAGATGGAGGTAATATATATAAACTTCTTGATTATATTATATTGACTCATATTTTTTGTCTGTGCTTAATTAAGATTTAATTTGGATACTAATTAATTATGATTCTATCTATGATCTCCAGCCATACATCGAGCTGCTGGTCCACAGCTAAGAGAAGCCTGCTATAAAGTCCCTGAAGCACGCCCTGGAATCCGTTGTCCCACAGGCGAAGCAAGGATTCTTCCGTATGTTATCAGGGCCGGTCCTATTATTTTATAGGCCCGGGGCAAGACAAAAGAAATAGGCCCTACCGGATGTTAATATATATTTCTTACTTAAAATTTAAATTACATAAAGAAAAAAAAACTAATATCAAGTAACATGACATAATATTAACAAGTTATTAGCAATTTTACATACGCAATAACACACTAATAATCATGAAAATATTCGGTACTTTTACGAAGAAATAATTTATAACAATGAATAAACAATTTAAAACTCAAATAAGCTTATAAACAATACCAGGACTATATGGTCTAATGGTATTCGGGTTGGACTTTCATTTGGAAGGTTGTGAGTTCGAGCTTCAGTGGTGGAGGCATTATTGGCTCTTTGTGTTTCAGTAGGTTGAGAAAGTATATGAACAGATACTACAATGTAATAAAGCTAGTAGCATTCAAAAAAAAAAAGCTTATAAACAATAATATATATTACTTTGTAATAAACTAATAAAAAAATTATAAACAATAATATTTTTATCATAATAAATAAATAAATTATTATTATTATTAAAAATTTATAAAACAACACTTACAAATAGATGTGAAGCTAAAAGCTAGTATAAATAAAAATATATTATTTTAAAATAGTTAAGATTGTTTAGATAAAATAATTTAAATCAAAAGCATATTATATCATAAATCTGATTATATATATATATATATATATATATATATATATATATATATATTTCCATTAACGAGATATTTATTAAAAAAAAAGTCTTCTTCTTTTCAAAATTATGGTATTATTTTCAAAATGCATTATTTTATCTAATCTCATCAATCAGGGGGTTTTGATGATTAAAAAAATTTGAATAAAAAGCAAAAGATTTTAGAATAGTTAATGATTGTTTGGATAAAATAATTTAAAAAGAAAGCATATTATAAATCACAAATGTTATTTAATTATATGTTTTTAGAAATAAGTATTCCATTCTAAAAATAAAAATGTAATTTACTTTTTAGTTTTCAACATTTTTATATCTAGTCTTACAAATTTGGGGGGTTTTGATGACTAAAAATTTGAATAAAAAGCATATGATTTTAGAATAGTTAATGATTGTTTGGATAAAATAATTTAAATAGAAAACATATTATAAATCACAAATGTTATAAATATACACACACATGTGTGTGTGTGTTTTAGGAATAATTATTCCATTAACTTGGAAAAAAAACATCCATTTACTAATTAGTATTCAACATTCTTATATATTTAGTTTCACAAAATTTGTAATCAGAAGGAATCGACCCCGAGACTTGTAGGTTATAATCCAAATATCTACCAATCGAACAACTTCAATTTTGTGTAAATTAGATGTATAATATTTACATATACACATATACTATATATAAAATGTGTAGGCACTAAGGGCCCCCCTCCAAGCATGGGCCCTGGGCACGAGCCCAGCCCGCCCTTGCCCAGGGCCGGGCCTGTATGTTATTGTTCTTCACATCTGGCACTGCTGGAAATTATGAAATTTCCGACCACCTGAAGGTGATCTTAAATCAAGTCGAAAGCCTTGTTCCGACCACTTTTGGTATCCGAAAAAACCTTTGTTGCTATTTCCGACCACTTTTTGCTTTTGACTTGATTTAAGTTGTCAGAAATTTCATAATTTCCAGCATTGTCATTTCACATTAAATACTAGTATATATATATATGTGTGTGTACTTATATATTATAGTTTGGTGTAAAATGCAGAGGTTTTAAGTTAGCAGCATCTCATGTGATTCTCACTGTTGGACCTATATATGCTTCCCACCCAGATCCTAAATCCGCACTGCAAAGTTCATATAGGTTTGTTATGACAGACATTATATTATATATTGTCTGCACTCCCTCCTTTCATAGTACAATAATAACTTCCATTATCACTTGATTCCCGACATGTTAGTTAAATCTCGTTTCTTACTGTCTTCCAGAAACTGCTTGCGTTTAGCTAAAGAAAACAACATCCAATACCTTGCCTTTCCTGCGATATCATGTGCATACTATGGGTGAGTAGTAATATCAATTTAGAGTTTTTTTTTTTTTTTTTCTTTTCACTTTTGGTCTTTTCCATATATCTGTGTGTGTGTGTGTGTGTGTGTGTGTGTGTTAGAATGTGGTGCTGTATGGTGCTGTGAATTTTATTATTATTATTTTTTGATTCAGGTATCCATTTGCTGAGGCTTCAAAGATTGCCGTGTCAACTGTAAAAGAACATGGAAGTGACTTCAAAGAGGTATATATATATATAGTAATCTGCTAATATTCATATCTCTCCAAAAATTACAGTAGTTTATGAAGACGTCAGTATATATAATCCGTTTTTCTGTAATCCGTGAAGTGTATCAATGGTGTTTGCAGGTTCACTTTGTTCTGTTCTCAGATGAAGGTTATGATGCATGGGTGAAGGCTGCAAATGAGCTTATTCTGCAGAACTGATCTGATATATATATGGCTCAGATTATATTGTTGAGGACTTAAGGATGCTGGATATGACAATATATATATGATGAAATAAAGAAGATGAGAGAGAGGATATATAGCTTTCTTCTACTCCGAATAATAACGTAGTTTCAATAAGTTGTTTTGATCTGATATGCATGTTGAAATGATCACAACAACCTTGAAATTAAAAGGATTCTTAATTAGCATGATGACCACTGGGTTTGCTCTTGAAGTGGTATTAATTGGTGTGAAAAAGTGGCATTCGATATATATATATATATATATATATATATATATATATATATATATATATATATATATATATATATATATATATATATATTTCCATAAGTTGGTTTATTATTGTGTAAAATTCTTCTCATCTCTCAATAATGGTATGTGCTTTCGCCTATATTAATAGGGTATTTAATCATCATCTCTAAGGCATATATGCATGGCGTTGCCCTATTCATATTTTCTTTTTAACAAAAAGGAAATGACGCCGGAATAACACTACTAATAATTACTCATTTTTTGCACTTGGTTGGTCAATGAGAGGCCCCGTACATGGTACCATATATCTGCTAGGAGAACATGTTGAGAACTCAATGGAGCGTTAAATAGACCCTCAAATTTTACCTAAAAAGTTAATTAGGTCCTCAAACTTTTTAAAGTTGTAATTAATTCATCAAAATTCAATTACTTGTTATTGAACTGTAATAACAAGTTAGTAAAATTCCAGCGGTTGTTCGACAATAAAAATCGACAACGGAGACCAAGACATCACCGGAGAAAGCATGCAATGGCCATCTCCCGCGACTGGAGATGGCAACTAAATTGGCAGCCATCTCCTAGGGACGGAGAAGGCGAACATTGCCATCTCCGTCCACGGGAGATGGCGAACCAACTAGCCGCCATCTCACAGGGACGGGGAAGGCGATCATTTTGATTGCCATCTCTAGTCTGTCCACTGGAGATGACGACCAAACTGGCCAACATCTCCTAGGGATGGAGAAGGTGACCAAACTGGTCGCCATCTCCCAAGGAGAATGCTACCAGTTTGGTTGCCATTTCTAGTAGACGGAGATAGCGACCAAACTGGCCGACATCTCCTAGGGACGGAGATGTCGGCCATTTTGGTCTCCATCTCTAGTCCGTCCACTGGAGATGGCGACCAAACTGGCCGACATCTCCTAGGGACGGAGACGGAGAAGGCAATCAGTTTGGTCGCCATTTCTAGTGGACGGAGGTAGCGACCAAAATGGTAGCCATCTCCCGTCGCCGGAGATAATAGTCATACCTTCTCCTTTGTTGATTTTTATTGTTGGACAATCGCTAAAATTTCAATTCTATTTTCTTTAATTATTTTTCAAGCGAACCAAACATGCAGTAGATACCATATGATCACAAGATATATGATGTTTTGCATGCATAAGAACAATGTCACCAACATAACCTAAATAAGTTCATCTCCAAATTGTCCGCGTTCGTCACTAAAAGAGAGTTTCAAGTGCAGCTATTTATCCATTAAACCATTGTCCTGAAAGCTTCATCCACTACTTATATATGTATACTGACTAGAAATTGTCCATCTAAAGGGAGATCCATTAGAGTGTGGGGCAACCCATGGCTTCCTAACTTAGCTTCTCCTTACATTATGACAGCTAGGGCAGATTACTTGAGAGATATTACAGTTGATTAGTTGTTGGTTGAGGATAGGTTGAATTAGGACAACGATATTGTAAATAATATTTTTGAGAGAGAAGACAAATATACCATTCTGAGCATTCCAGTGCCCCAGAATAATTACCCTGATAAACGGATTTGGTAGTATAGTGGAATGAGAATGATTATCAATAATGCTGTTTGGTTATGCATGATTCAATAATGGGAATAAAGATTTTAAAAATAAAAGAACACAAATCAAGGTTAGACAATTAGTTCTAATATAAAGACATCCAAAATACTAATATGAACAAAAATTTAAAAGCACTAATCAAAGGATCGAGATGATGAGAAAGAATAAAGAAATGAAAGGCTATAATAATACCCTTATTTTTATTTAGGTATGAGATTTTCAATTAAGCCGGTATTTAAACCCATAATAATGTTCTAAAAACCTAATCAACCAATAAACAATACCAATCACTTTAATACAGATTCCTTATAACTAAACCCGTCAACCAAATTAAACACATTATTCAAATCTATTATATATACAAAGCAGGGACTAGTAGGTTTGAGGACTCTGATCTATTCCCACTACTTTGCAGTAACTAATAGCGTTATTAGAGTATCGGCCGGGACACTTCATTGACGTACGAGATGACAACCATAATGACTATATATATATATATAGTATTCATAGTAAGATCGAGTACGTGTATATCCCGATTCCGAGGAATATAATAATCAATCTTAAATTAAATTAAAGTTGAATAATTGTCGTGTGTTATGGGAAAATTAAAGCGGAAACTTGACACTGCCGTGTGTTAGGAGTATGCATAATGCATGATGGAGAAGATTTCACATTAATTATTATGCATAATTATATTATATATATAGTGGCGGCCTGCAGGGAGAAGTTTCAACAGATCGATCATATCATCCACGGCGGGGCGGGGCGGGGCGGAGCTAGCTAGCTAGCGCGCGGCGTTAGTTTCCATCATGGCAAGCAGCGGCGGCGGAGATGACGGTGATCGAGGAGCAGGTGTTGAGTTTGAGTTGAGTCCTTCCACTTTGGTGAAAATTGTTAGGGGCAAAATCGCTCAGTGGTCCGTTGATGGGTCTTCCGACGCCATTGTAACCATTAAATTTCTTCCTCCTACTCCTACATATATTATATTCTTGTCAATATAATGCATGGGATGCTTAAAGTTTTAATCTTTTGGAAATTTGATATGATTCTTGTTTCTTCCCTAAGGTGAATCCTACCAATGAGAGAATGCTCGGGGGAGGTGGCACTGATGGAGGTAAACTCTACTACTGCCCTGGCTAGATAAGCTAGCTTCATTCCATTTTTTGTGGGCGCTTAATTAAGGTTTAATTTGGATACTAACTATCTAATATGATCTTCAATTCTCCAGCCATACATCGAGCTGCAGGTCCCCAGTTAAGAGAAGCCTGCTATAAAGTCCCTGAAGCACGCCCTGGAATCCGCTGTCCCACTGGAGAAGCAAGGATTACTCCGTATGCACCATTCCTTTCACCTTAAAACCATTTCTTAATTGGATTCTCTCTGTGTGTATACTTATTATTCTTATATATGCAGAGGTTTTAAGTTAGCAGCTTCTCATGTGATTCTCACTGCTGGACCTGTGTATGCTTCCCACCATGATCCTAAATCCGCACTGGAAAGTTCATATAGGTTTGTTATCACACACTACATTATCTGCACTCTCTCTTTTCAAACTACAATAATTTCTTTTATCCGGCCAATCTGGCCAGAGTCAAGTTGGTCCAGGAGTACATACATTTGGCTAGCTTGGTAACTACAAGATTTTAAGTTTGACTTTGAGTAGTTTGAGTTGATCATCATGAATAACCTCCTTGTAGTGTTTTGACTACTGACTAGGATCACCGACAAGACTAGGTTTATTTACTTATCTAGTACGACATACATTCAAATAGTAGTTGCCTGTTTCACTTCCGGGCCTCGTCAGCCAAAAAAAATAACTTAGCTTATGTAATAACAAGATTCCAAATTCGATTCTCGTTGGAAGTTGAGTTACATTGGTCTTTTGACTTTATTGATTTGAGTCATTCAACTATGAGTAACTTAAACTTAGTGTCTGAAGGCCGCGGGTTTCACCAAGGAAAAAAACTGAAATAACTTCTTCCATTATCACTTGTATGTTTGCATGCATGCCATGTCCATTTCCAACATTATATATATTCTTACAGTGTTTTCCACCTTTCAGAAACTGCTTGCGTTTAGCTAAAGAAAACAACATCCAATACATTGCCTTTCCTGCCATATCATGTGGATACTTTGGGTGAGTAGTTATGCATATATATATATATATATATATATATGCCTCGTGGCTATATATTATTATATTGTCACATTTCGGATCATACCCTGTATATATGCTAATTAAGCATAGTAATATGTATAAATACTAAGAGTACAGTCTGTTTGGAAACACGTAAGGAATATACATGAATTATTCTGCAGGTATCCATTTGATGATGCTGCAAAGGTGGCCGTGTCAACTATAAAAGAATTTGGAAGTGACTTCAAAGAGGTATGTATATATATATGTTAATCTCTCTGGATCCAGAAATTGCAGTAGTTTTTGAAGATAGTATATATAATCCATTTTTGTGTAAGTAGATCAGATGAGAGGATCGGACCGACATTATATTGTGGTAGTATTGTGAAGTGTATAGTATGAATGAATGATAGATGTTTGCATGCATGCATGCAGATCCACTTTGTTCCGGCCGCAGCTGCAGGTTATGATGCATTGGTGAAGGCTGCAAATCAGCTTCTCATCAAGAACTGATATATAAGCTCAGATTATATTGTTGGATATGATGATGAGAATAAAGAAGAAGAAGATGATGATGATGAGAGAATAGCTTTCTTCAATCTACTCCATCTGAATAACATATATATATATATATATATATATATATATATATATATATATATATATATATATATATATATATATATAGTTTTAAGTTGTAAAAGGTTATATATATGCATGTTGAAATTAAATGATAACAACCTTGAAAAGGACACTTAGTATGATGATGCATGGGTACTCATAATCAGGGAGTTTGCTCTTAAAGTGATCGTATTATTGTGAAAAAAGTGGTTCTACATATATTTTTATAAATCTATTGTGTGAAAATTTTTGCATCTCCATTTCCATAATGGTATGTGCTTTAAATTAATATATATTAATAAGTCGAATATTTAATCATTCATAATGATCAAATGCTCAATATTATTTGATTTATGAAAATAACATATAGTCAAAACTCATGACAGAAAGCTAAATTACATGAAAGTAAATCAGATGACCCTACCTTGCCGTCAGTCTCAACTGAATATTTTTACTAGCTAGCTAATATTAGCATTATTGCCCAATTCAAATTTTTTTTGATAAAAAGAAGGTGAGACAAAAAGAAGAAGAAAAAAATGATGGAAAAATTGGGAAAAAAAAGGGGTGGAGGGGGAATACAATAATTACATGTTCTCCACTCCACCATATCATAGCCCTCCCCTCCCACAAAATTTCCTCTTCCAGCACTCATATAAAACCTCAGTCCAGTCCAGAATCAAGTGATGATTTCTGCACCCGTTTCCGGACTCGGGTCCACATTATTCCGATTTCTCACTACCCGAAGTGCCCCGCCGATAAAGCTCCGGAATTCACAGTTCCGACCCCCCGGAAACTACGTCCCTATCCTCCGCGGCGGAGCTAGCTTTTCCATCATGGCAAGTGGCGGAGCTGACGATCGGAACGCTGTTCAGTTCCAGCTTACTCCTTCCAGCTTGCTCAAGATTCTTAAGGGCGACATCACTCAGTGGTCCGTTGATGGATCCTCCGACGCCATCGTAACCATCTCTCTCTTTCTCCTGTTCGCGCACATACATACACCTGTTTGTGTTAATGCTTAAAAAGTTCTAAATTTTTATTCTAAAGTCAATAGCTTTTAGGGATTTTAGGATTCATATGATTTGTGTTCCCTAAAATATATGAACTCAGTATCACTTATAAGTAATAACTCGATGAATTAGGAAATTTGTGCCATTGCAAAAACTGATTTTCTGATTCTTGATCACCTTTGATCTTCAGTTGCCTGTTAGAAGCTTAGCTGAATAAATTGACATTTTAATGAAATGGGGATGGTTGATATAATGATATATCTCTAGTATTAGTAATTCAGTGTGATTGTAAGATCTGCCTTGAAATGAAGGATATTATTGGTGTGATATAGTTTTGTGTAGTACTTCGGTTTTATGCATTTGGATTGTTTTCCCTAAGGTCAATCCTGCTAATGAGAGGATGCTCGGGGGAGGTGGCGCTGATGGAGGTAAGTAGGTAACTTCCTGATTGTGCTGATTCCATTTCGTGTGTGCTTAAGGTTTGGAGACTAATTATGATTCTATTTCTAGCCATACATCGAGCTGCTGGTCCCGAGCTAAGAGAAGCCTGCTATAAAGTCCCTGAAGTACGTCCTGGAGTTCGCTGTCCCACAGGCGAAGCAAGGATTACACCGTATGTTATTGTTCTTCACCTCTCGTTTGACATTAAAACCAATTCTTAGATTCGCCAAGCATGTTTCAATATATATATATATATATATATATATATATATATATATATATATATATATATATATATATATATATATATATATATATATATATATGTGTGTGTGTGTGTGTGTGTGTGTGTGTGTGTGTATACTTATTAAACGTTGGTGTAAAATGCAGAGGTTTTAAATTACCAGCCTCTCATGTGATTCACACTGTTGGACCCATATATGATGCACACCCTGATCCCAAAGCCGCATTGGAAAATTCATATAGGTTTGCTATTCAAGTGTTTTCTGATCTCTCCCTCGTTTTGCAGTATATTAACTTCCGTTATTGCTTAGAGTAAAGTTGGTTGCCATTGATTTCCAACATATTAGGAGTTTCCTTCCATCTTAACCAAGGTTCTTTGTCCTCTTTACAGAAACAGCTTACAAGTAGCTAAAGAAAACAACATCCAGTATATTGCTTTTCCTGCCATATCTTGTGGAGTCTATGGGTGAGTTACATCAATTCACAAACTATTTATGTTTTGTGGGTTTCTGTTCCATCTTCTTTCTTTCTATCAATAATATTTTGTTGTGGTTTCTTGTATCCCATTTTACGAGTCAATCTAATTTGCATTACTTCATTGAGTTTGCTAAAAGTACAAGTGCTCTTTATAACCTTTCATTCTTTCTTGATTGAAATGATTTCTATACTAGTTTTAACCCTGGAGCTATGTTCTATTTTTACCACTTATATACTATCGGTTTGTGACTGTTGTTACTTGTTACATTTTGTATTGTACTCTGTAGCATATATATTATTACGGACTTGGTTATGAAATTTATGGGCAAATATTAGTGCAAATAGTTGATTGCTTTAGACTTTAGAGACACAATTTTAATGAAGTGCTTGTGATGATCCAATTTTTTGTCTCTCACAAATTCATTCAGGTATCCTTTTGATGAGGCTGCCAATGTGGCTGTATCTACTGTAAAAGAACATGGAAGTGACCTCAAAGAGGTATTCTTCGCTAATATACACCCCCCTCTTCTCGATCTCTCCCCAGAATTTGCAACATTAGTTTGTCTAGACAGTCCATTTTTTAATAAGTAGAGTGCCTGCATTCTGGTGCATGACAAGCAAAACTATACTTGCAGGTCCACTTTGTTCTATTCTCGGATGAAATATTCAATGCATGGCTGAAGGCATCGAATAAGCTTCTTCAGAACTGATGCCTCGGATTGTTCAAGAGTGTTCTCAGATTTAACGTCGAGAACACTGGATGCTGGACGTGAAAATGTTAAACTAGATAGATGATCAGGAAGTTGCTACTCTGTATTGCAGAGTTTGAAGTTGCTACTCTGTATTGCAGAGTTTGAAGTTGCTTGTGATTTGATGTTAGACTGTGAGCTTGCATATTGAAATGATGAAAAGGATACTTGTATGGATGGCTCCAATAACGTTGGTGTTGGAGGTTACTTTTGAACAAAAGTTGAGGCATATTTGTATTAAGCTTTTTTCTAGTGTATTACTAACACTTGTTCCAATAACAAGAGATATGGTATGGCGTTTTACAAGTAAACCCAGCGGAGTTGGTCGGTTAATTGTTTTAATAACATAATATAAGAGTCGTCTAATAAATTTTCTTGGTTTAAGCTGGTCAGATATAAGCAACATAAGTAGATGGCTATAAGTTTTCCACTAAATCAAAATGTGAACTTCTGCAACCAAACAGTGTCACCAGCATAACCTAAATAGGTACATTTAACCTCATTCCAAAACAAAAAGAAGAGAGTTATTAACCCCTTCACTGTTCTCTATTTTCAAAAAGGTTAAATCTCCAACTCTAAGAGCTCCCCACACCTTGACTGGCTCAACAAACAAGGCCAAATATCGGTGCGCACAAAGGATCTGTCCACTTTGGACATAATCCCCACACTGTCGCTGCCGAGATTCAAACCTTAGTCTCTTTTCTTAAATATTGTCTGTGAGCTAAACCTGTGCAGGCCCGTTCAATGTTCTCTAAATTTCATAAAGTTCTCATTCAATCACGGCAAAGAAAGAAGCTAAGAGATATCTCAAAAGTATAAAATGAATACATGTCATTTGTTAACTCCAAGTATAAAATGAAACTCATGTCATTTGTACTACTACAACATTTAAAGATCTTTGTCCTTGGTTAAATTCCGAGGTAATCTTCTAATGCTCTCATCCACTACTTTATATTGCCTAGAAAAGTGTCCATCTAAATGACCTTCAAATCTATTATACAAAGCAGGGACTATGATGAATATAATGGTTCCTGAAACAATTCAAAGGGTAAAAACAACATGTCGGTCATATGAGAGATCAACACAAATAAAAGGAGATCCTAGAAATAGAAGCGAGTCTGAGTGCTCATGATAATCAGTGAGACAATGATACAGAAAAGCCGATAGTGTAAACAGGTACAAATACATACCTATATACGCAATTGTGAAGAAAGATACCACACTGCCTATGACAGACAGAATCCAGAGAAAAATCACTGCCTGCATATTAAACAAAATTTTGTAGGTATAGTTAAGATGAGTTTGTGAGCATCATTCGTTAAGCATAAGCAGATAAAATACAGATTAAGGTGCACAAAGTATAAGACACTGACTGAAACAAACATATTGGCCCTATTTGGTAACATAGTTAGCTTATCAGCCAATTTTGGCTTATTTGACCACTATTAGCTGTTTGACTTGGTTAAACAATCAAATATGAGTAGTTGATTAATTAGTTTTTTGTAACATCTTATTGCTCCAAAATGCTAAAATTCAAAAAACTGGTCAAAGCAGCTTTTTCGATAAGCTTTTTGAGAAAGTCATTTTGCATGTAATCAGTTATCAGCTAACAGTTAACTTACCAAACACTTTACTACAATCAGTTAATGTTATCAACTAGTCAAACCTACTAACCTAATCAGCTAGCAACTATTTACCAAACACCCCCATTATATGTCAAACTACTCTGGTGTTAATGGGTAGTCGCCACTAATCGTTTGATGTTCCAGGAAATTGTGCAGTTATCCAACAAGTCACTAGTTTGCAGGACTCTATTCCCACGTCCTAAGTTATGAATTTGAAGTGTAGTGTCCATTATAAATTCAACAACGTAACTGCAGTGTATTAATGCGTTCATATGGCATGTAGCAGTCATCAATCAAGTCCTATTTCTTAGATTATAATGATATGTATACCAATTTTTCCTCATCAAATCAATAACTGCTGACCTTGAAGAAGAGTCTGAAATCTCTCCCAAGGGTGATATCGTGAGCCATAAGTAACACATAATTGATTTTAGCACGAAATGAGGCAGCTGCATTGTTGACCATTTCTTCTGTCAAGACCAATTCTGGCAATGTTGGGAGTCGTCTGGGGAAAATACAGGGGAAAATACACGAGCAAAATGCCTTTTTATTACAACATTCAAAATAAGAAAGATAGTTTCACAACAAGTGACAAACACATATGTAAATGGTAAGTGATCATACTTCTTTCTGAAGGCAGCAAACTTTGCACGGAGAAAGAGCATGACAACTAAAATCAGCAGGACATCACAACACGCTGATATGAAAGGTAATCCCGAGCGTTCAAACAACATCCATGCAACAGTAGCAACAACAACGATGCCAAATAAAGCACACCTTTGCCTCCACAAAATTACTTCGGCAGCTTAAGTAAGGCGAAAGAACATCAATTACAAGACTGCAGAAACAAGCATGAGCAAATATGCAGCAAGCACAACACGTGGAAATCTATTTCTAACGGTGACCACTTGATTGAAATTTACTTATTGCTACTTCATTCACCAAAAACCCATAACCAACACATATAACAGTATAACACACACAATAATTCTCCCCCTTCCTCCCCTTAGCTCATTGAACTTTATACGCCTCACGCCCCCATGAATCCTTTTCAATCAATGGATAAAGCTGTCCTACATAATCTGTCAAGTCCACCCATGCACTGAAACCATGATTGCTTGCCAGACCTCAACTAATCACAATTTCTTCACTTACTTCAATGATTCCCTTACCATTTCAAAGCTCTGCCAAAACTTCGAGTTGCAATTGTACTATGACCAGACTACAATACTTTTTTTTTTTGAAAGCCAACACCAAAGTTACTTCATTAATTCAAGAAAGCACGAACAAAAGCCGAAGGTTCACCCTCCCACAAACAAGAACCAGCACATTCCGACTCTACCTCCACCATTCTCCTCCTTAAATTCACCATAACTGGCAACACATCTCTAGCCAATCTCCACAAAAAAAAAGGACTTTCATTTCGGTGGTACCCGGAGCCATTTCATAACCTCACTGGCTGGGTTATCCACGGGCAGTGATTCTGTGGGAAGTCTATAGCTATTCTTTCTTCACCCTATACTACAATACTTTGTTTATATATCAAAAACAGAATCTCTCAAGGTAACACAGTCAAGCAATACACTTAAGTCTCAATAAAATACAGTGGAATGCAATTTCCTTCAAATTCAGGAATCAAATAAAAGCCAAAATGCAATAATATACCATTATCACCGAGGGCCAACGATGAAGACGTCGACGGAACACCGCAAACACTGATGTAATTCGCTCTGCCATCTCCATCTCCATCTCCCCCGATGTTACAGATATCTTCCGAATTCTCCATCAAATTACACTGCCAAAAATTAATAAATTATCCATCAAAATTCACATAAAATGAAATAAAATTACACTTAAAAAATAAAATTGAAATTAGATTTAAACCCAAGCCGGTCGACCACTTCGGGCAATCACTAAGCTTTTTTTCCGTCAAATTTATGGAAACCTAAGGCATCATTGTGACGGATAAAACTACGTCGTATAACACCTCTCTACCTTCAAATTTCCTACTTTGAAAGCACCATTTCAAATTTCTATCCAATTCGTCTGTCTTTCTATGCAATGCAATTTACATTTTTTCGTGATTTACAAGCTATTATACAAAACTAATGATAATAATAAAAGAAAAAATATTTAAATACAAATGTTAAAATTTATTATTTGACTATAATAGATTGATAGCTGTAATCTACTTTTAACAAATTTTAACACTCAAAATAAAATTTATAATTCTTTCATTGTAAAACTTAAACATATAAGTTAATCGAATAATTTCAAAAAAAAAAAATGTAAACTATATAATGTAGATGATATGTTAATTTTTAAAAATAACACTTGTAGTTCACCAATTATGTGATATAATGAGTTTAGTGTTTTAATTATTAATCTTCAAAATTACACTAAAATAGTGAATTTTGTGCGTAAGTATCAAAGAAATATTGTGATAATTTGAGCACCTTTTATGGTTCTACCATTAATTGCTGTTGTCTTATTATTCAAGATTATTGAGAATTATTTATTTGAGGATAAAATAACATCTTTAATTGTAGTCTAAAAAATATACTCTCATCACAACTTGTATTGACAGAACTTTTAGACAAACATAGTTACCATCTGATAACCACGGGAATATGGTTGAAATCTTGGAATGTTGGATTGCATCTAACACAAATGATTGCTACAAACGTGTAATATCTTTTGAGCTTTTATAAAAAACTATTATATTTTAACTAAAAATTATTACATGTCGCACATGAAACGATCTCATATAAGACTTACTCATAATCTTGAGATATATAGTGTCACAAGAGCATATATATATATATATATATATATATATATATATATATATATATATATATATTGTTGAAGGGACTAGGAAATGATATCTGGGTTGGACTTCCATTTGGAAGATTATGAGTTCGAGCTTCAGTGGAGACGTTATTTGTTCTTTGTGTTTCAGTAGGTTGAGAAAGTATATGAACAAATACTACAATGTAATAGAGCCAGTACTTTAAAAAAAAATTATTGCTGAAGGGGATCCATTGGGCTTGGGAAAAGAGTGGTAGGCAGGTGATAGTTCAGAGTTCGGTGTGATTTGAAAAAGATGGTGAAATTGTCAGGGATATGATACTTTTTGAAGTGAAAAAAAAAATATCTTTTAAATTAATGTTGATGTTGATATTGTTCTTATTTTTATGCTAAAAAAATTAGTGACAATGATCAAATCAAATCTCATGTTGCTAAAAAAAATATTTCAAAATGAGACTTTCCATTCAGTACGAGATTTACAATTATTGAAGCATTAATAGTAATTACGAAGTTAGGCAGATAACACGCGATCCTAACTGATCCGTTTCAGTTTCGGTTTGAGCTGGATCACAGTTTTCGGCGATTAGAGAAACGAGGTCGTTAATGGCGCCAAATCTCTCACGCGCAACCTGGACACTGTGATTCACTCTCCGAATTTCCAGAGTAATTTAAACTATTTATTTACGCCCTGCCTCTCCTCCACATCACTTCATCACATTTGACTCTGAAATTCTGTACGTGATTAAACATTTATGCACGAACACTTTGCTGCCGAGATTTAGTTGACTAACCATCATTGTGTTGCCCTACTCTACTATTCGTGGATGTGCGGAAACGCTCTGCAAAAGGATCGGATCTGTGAGCCTTCGAGCCGACGGTGCAATTCAAGCTGGTGCTGAGTTTGAGATTTCGTCGTGTTCAGGTCTGGATTTGATTGAGATATTCGTGATTTTTATCGTAATTTTATGTGATTTGTGTGTGTGAAAGTAATGCCGTTTTGGATCTGGATGTAGGAGGCGGGGCCAAAACACGAGGTGAAAGTGAAAGGATGAGTGAGAGCAAGCAGTTTCAGCTAGGCACCGTCGGGGCTTTAAGCCTGTCCGTCATTTCGTCGGTGTCGATTGTGATTTGTAACAAGGCGCTCATGAGTACTCTACGCTTCAAATTTGGTGAGTCGGTTATTATTTTCAGTGGAAATTTGTCCTTTCTGATCGAGTTGTGTAATTCTCAATGTGGTGAAAAGGTTGGTGGAAACGAACAAAGAGAACACGACATTGTAGAATGCTCTTAAGTCTTAAGTAGTATCTCATACGGAGCAGTGTGTGGTATTACATATCATTACTAACTGGTTGCAACGAGGCGGCTCTTTGTAGTGTGTATGGCCTGGCATGATTCGATGATTGATTTAAAGTTTCTTTGTGATTCTGATGGCATTTCTAATTGGATTATATTTTTGGAAGAGTTGTAAACTAGTAAAAATAAAGTGAACTCCTTTGAGATTTGCAAAATGCATATCATATCCTCCATAATGATTAATGAATAGCATAGTGGTCAGTATCTTTACTTAAGTGCGTTAGAAAGATGAATACACCGCTAAGACAAAATTATATTTTTCTTACTGCAGCTACAACTTTGACAAGCTGGCATCTATTAGTCACTTTTTGTTCCCTCCATGTGGCACTCTTGATGAAACTGTTTGAGCACAAGCCTTTTGACCCAAGAACTGTAATTGGATTTGGTATTCTAAATGGGATATCAATTGGATTACTCAACCTTAGCCTTGGTTTCAATTCTGTAGGTTTCTATCAGGTATAACCCTATTTTCTGTATCTTCTTCATTTTTGTTTTAAATGCAAAGTCCACTTAACTGTTTCTAAATCCAAACGTTCTACATCTTTTTTTTAAGATGACAAAGCTTGCCATCATCCCTTGCACTGTGCTGCTAGAGACGCTTTTCCTAAGCAAAAAGTTCAGGTCAGTTACATTGTATGCATGCTGAATGAAGTTGACTTGGTCTTTCAATATGCCTGATTTGTTTCAAAGGCTATTCTGAACCTAAGTGTTATATTTAGTCTTTATTCTGGTATACTTTAAAGTTCTTTACATTCAATCCATCCCCGCCATTGGATTATTCAGTGACATTTCTGATACCTTCTAGTTGATTTAATAAAGTACTGCCCTATTAGTACATGGCCTCCAGTCAACTTTCCTCTTTTGCCTAAATTAGGAAAGACAAAATTGCCCTTATGATTATAGCCTTAATATGTCAATTATGAATTTCCGTCGAGTTCTAGCCGGAAATTTGGCTGGAGGGACTGAAATTTATAAAAATTGAATAGTTGTGGTATTAAATTGATAATTTTGAAACTCTTGGACCCCAATAGTCATAGGACCAAAAGTGACATTTTGTTTTCCACTGGTATTTTATTATACGATTCATATAGAATGTGTTCAATTATTTTTCTCTGTCTAATCTATATTTGTAATATTCTACACCAAGAGGAGCATTCCTTTTTTTTTTATTTATTTTTTTTATATCAGGTAATCTGCTTTGTCCTTTTTCACTATGATGACTAATAGTTTTCCTTGTTACAACTACAGTAGGAGCATTCAACTTTCTTTAATCATCCTACTTTTTGGTGTTGGGATTGCAACTATAACTGATTTGCAGCTAAATGCGGTGGGCTCTATCCTTTCACTCCTTGCAGTACTCACAACTTGCATTGCTCAAATTGTATCCTTTGAAGTGCTTGGTCATCTGTATGTATGCCTTTAACATGAACTCTTAAAATTTTATACAGGGTAGTAATCCAAACTCTTTGGTACTAGGAACCAGTCTTACCTGCCAATTTGATACTGAGAGGGCTAGTAATAATGTTATCATAATATCATCCTTTTTTTTTTTTTCCTCTACTCTCATCTGTGAGATACTTGAGCTCTCACTTTCGCTATATGCATCTAAAATTTGTCAAGTATATAATCTTTTATAATTTTATTTCCTAAACCTGGAGATCTTCCAGTACAATACCAAGGACTTGTTCATTTTGACAGGTTATGCACAGCCTTTACCTTCCATTACATGTGACCACTATGCTTGTGGTTTGTTGTGATTTAGTTCTTAGCTTTTAATGCATGACCACTATGATTAAAAGAAGCAACTATTCTACTTTTCATTGAGTACTTCAGTTTAAGTAGCTTTATATTTAGATTATGGGCATATATTCTTCCAGTCATGTAATAATTCCTTGTAAAGTTCTTAATAAACTTCATTCAGATGACAAATACCATTCAGAAGAAGTTTAAGGTTTCTTCAACACAGTTATTGTATCAATCTTGTCCTTACCAAGCGATGACTCTATTCGTCTCTGGTCCATTTCTGGACAAGTTTTTGACCAGCCAAAATGTATTTGCTTTCCAATATACCCCGCAAGTGCTGGTAAAGACTACAAGTTTCTATTGTATGGTGGTTTTGTTTGAGTAATATTTAATATCTAATGATCCTCAAATTCGCAGGGATTTATTGTTCTGTCCTGCTTGATATCTATAGTTGTTAACTTCAGCACATTCCTTGTGATTGGAAAGACATCTCCAGTCACCTATCAGGTTCTTGGTCATCTGAAAACATGTCTAGTATTAGCTTTTGGTTATATGCTACTTCGGGACCCATTTAACTGGAGGAATATTATGGGGATCCTGATTGCACTAATCGGGATGGTTCTATATTCATATTACTGCACCCGTGAGGGTCTGAAAAAAACCGCTGAAGCTTCACCACAACTTCAGGTGCTATATTTTATGTTAATCTAATCAAGCATAATTCATTTTCAGAGTTCAGACACAGATTAATTATATGTCCCACTTTCCTAACTTCTATTTCACTGCAATTGATGCAGCCAAAGGAAGATGAATCCATTCCCCTGGTACTCATGGAAAATGGCAGTACCCGTCATAAGTGATGTTGCAATGCCCATGGTCCTTGTTAGGAAAGTACTGGCCTTGAACATATGAGAAAAAACTATGCACCAAATTGTCGTGCAACTATTTGAGATATGGTTAAGTTGACAGTAAATGTTATAGGCAGAAAGTTGTTCTATAGAAGTATAGAGTAACCTCAGTAACAAGGAACAACTTTCCCCGCGCTATATATCATTTGAAGTTGGTACATTTGATATCACAGTGCTATGTGTAGCAAATGTGAACTAGATTTTTCCAAACTCTTATAAATATAGCTCATTTTCTAGCAATGTGTAGACATTCGATTCAGAAGGATTTTTTATTTATATGTGAAAAATGTGTTGGCTTGAACATGTTTCATATTCTGCACTCATCCTTCTAATGCAAAGAACCAGTTTGAGCTTTGCCATCAGAGTTTCCTTCACAGTCGTTCAGCAGCAACCACTAAACAGGTATTCCCAGTCAAGCTTCTTTTGGATGCTGTGTTTTTGTATTTTCCTTTTGTCTCTATTGCTCCATAACATCCAAAAATTTGAAACACAACCCCTGCAATCAGCTCTCGTTAGCACTCGTTAGCAGTCTGTCGTATCTCCTTCACAATTCTTACGCATTCATCCATGGGACAGTTCGTCTTGATTGCGTTGGAGACAATATGTGATCTACTCGCAGCATACCCTTCCTGTAATGGGAACCAGTCTTGGTACATTGGGCAGGATGTGCAGAAGGCAAAATGTAAAAGAGGTATATTCAACATACCTTGTGCAGGGTGCTCATCACTGAAGCAAAAGGAGGGGAATTCACTTTTGCACGACTTGCAATCTGCAAACAATAAGGAAAAGATCAGAAACCAGAGCATATTTGTTCCTGTGGAGGCTTTTCGCCTGTTTAAACCAGTAAATTAAAAGGGGTTAAGAAGTTGCAGAGACCTCATCCATTTTGATGTAACCAACTGGCAGTTTGGGTTCACTCTCATCAATCATCCGTTTCAAGAGTTTTTCGAGATCTCTTCCTGTCTTACACCCTCCTATCCACCCCCATTCTTCAGCCAAGTTTAACATTTCTATAATATACGATTCCTTGTGAAGAGGCCCTGTCCAAAGGGGCCCTGAAACAGCAAGTGAATTCGCAACCTGAGCAAACATAAAAAGGAAAACAAAAAGGACTGTGATAACACTGCAGCCTGACAAATCTTACCAACTCTTTCTTTACCTGTGTGTGTTAAGCATAAGGCTTAACGAATAAAGACAACAAAGTTCTTTGTTCTGTACTTCTGTTCCATTCAAGGCTTGTTATGCAAAAAAGGATTTGAGATAAGTATTTAGGTATGAAACCTTACATCTCCACTGCAAGAGCAGCTGATTTGCCCGAGTTCCCCCCAGGAGAACGCTCTAGAATTGCCACACCGGTTACAGTAGCTGATGAAGCCGTAGTGCCTGGTACCAAAAGCCGAGGGCATAACTACCAACATGTAGAAATGAAACTAACAGACACATGATTAAAAAAATGACAACCATCACTAGCCTGGGATCAGGAGGCTGCCCACTCTTGACTTGTAGCAGCACTCTAAAAACCGGTCCATGGTAGGAGTAGTATGAGAAGAGCGGAACAACATGATAGCCTAGTATCAATGCCTCTCTCATAACTCCACCTATTAGCATCCTCAGCCCAATCTCATTTGGATATGGCATGCGTTGAACATATGCTCCATAGGCAGCCAAACAACTGGAAACAAAATCATAACATCATTTTCTTCAATGCATCAATTTATACAACCATCATTTGCACTAAGATTCCTAAGGCAATCTTTGCAAACTAAATATGGCATACATTACACATAACCAAGTATCAAAGCCTCCCTGATAACCTATTAGCATTCGCAGGCCAAGCTCATTGAATATGGCATACGTTGAACATATTGGAAACAACCATAACATCATTCTCTTCAATGCGTCAATTTACACAACTATTATTTATATATATATATATATATTATGCTCAACACATACCCTGAGGCGTAGCCTCATACTGAGGCAAGCCTCAAAATCGCCTTTTTTAAACTATGGACTTCTGTCTCGACTAAAAAGCATAACTTTGAGTACATATATGTAGTATGCACAACACCAATGTTACTCAGTCAAAGACGGCTATCGACGCATAGTTGGAGACTATCCTAACGCTAATAATGGGATTTTTGATGGATGGTTAGCCTTATGGAAAATAAAAGCACCCCCCAAATGGAAAACATTTCTATGGAGAGCTCTAAGTGATATCCTCCCCACTAAGAGCAATTTGATTATAAAGAGAGTAGAAGTGGACCCGATGTGTGCTATGTGTGGGATTGCTCATGAAAATATTTTACATGCATTAGTATCGTGTGATTATGCAAGATCCATTTGGAGCCAATCTAACCTCCCACTCCCCAACATTGTGACAAATATTTTCCATGAATGGTTTAGTGCACTCTTAAATGTTCTAGACACTAATGGAATATTGTATGCAGCTTTTATTTTATATCATATATGGAGAGCAAGAAACAGAGCTGTTTGGGATGCCTGTCTACTATTGCCAAAGAAGGTGCTTGTGGCAGCTATGGCCACTATGCAAGCATGGAACACGCTACACCACCGAACGCCCACACCAGCCACAAGGGACCACCGCACGGCGGATGGAGCCGGTCACGCTGTACAGTAGTTTGGCCCCCAAATGGTGGCCGAAGGCATGCAGCAACCGCCGCTGCCATGATCCGGCCACGCCGCGGAAACATCAAGACCCAGGAGATGCTACATGGATGCAAGCTATCACCAGGATACCAGCTCAGCAGCGGTGGGGGCGGTACTACTAGATGCCGACAATCACTATGTCTCGGTTTTCAGCGCCCCACTACTGGATTGTTTTTCCCCACTCATGGCTGAGGCATACGCGTGTAAAGAGGTTTTATCATTGTTAAGAGGACGTGGCGAAGATTCAATACACCTACATACTGACTGCCAGATGTACAACGCTACCTATGCGCACCGAATACACTGTCTAGGTCATATGTTGGATATGCTATCGATAGTTGCAGGAATTTTATATCTACTTTAAGTTTTTGCTCAGTCAATTTTGTTCCTAGACTACAGAATTTATTAGCACATACTTTAGCTACTTTAGCTTTAAATTCGACTACAACTATGTACTTGGGACGATGTCTCACCAAACTCTATTTCAGTTTATCTATAAATATACAACCACATTGGTTGACCTTCAAAAAAAAAAAAAGGCAATCATTATGAAACTAAAAATTAAGTAACTTTTTAGTATATATATTATGCACAACACTAAGGTTCCTATGGAAATCTTTATGAAACTAAAAAGCATAACTTTTAGTATATATATTATGTTCAACATTAAGGTTCTTAAGGAAAGCTTTATGAACTAAATAAGTTATGCAAGGCAGCTCAAAGAGGAAAATCATCAAAAAGCTAGTGTGCATAACATAATGGATGTTCAGAATAATGTTAAGATTGCATAATACTATAATGGAAGATGAATGTTACACGAAACTCACCGTTGAGGCCGGTGACCGCCGGAGGAGTAGCCATCCGTGTTAGTAACATACAACAATCCGCCCAATTTCACGGCGGCAATGGCAGCTCGGAGAAAGCTGGAATCGCTGCCGAAAGAATCAACGTCAATGAGATCAAAATAATCCCTCTCCAAGTAACGCTCCGTCAAGACTCGCGTCGCGTCCGAATGCGTCACCGCCCATCTGCTCCCGTCCCCAGAAACCCTAGAAAGATTCCCCAGAATTATGCCCCGGATACAGTCATTGGCGTCGTTTGCGAGCACGAAATCGGCCTCTGCCTCCACCAAGTACCGCAGGGACCGAATTCCGCATCCGCACATCGCGTCCAGGACCCTGAGGCTGCCCTCGGACTTCTTGCGGAGGGCTGCCGAGAGCACGCCGAGGTCTCGGCCCGTCGCGCTCTCGTGGCGGAAGAAGGTGTCGCCGACGTCGAATTGCAGGCCGCGCTCCGTCTGGAGCTGGGATTTGCAGGCATTGATGGGCTTGCACTTTGGGAGTTTGAGGTCAGGGTTTAGGGCTTTGGGGAGGAAGAAAGTGGGATGGTGATAAACGGATAGAGTTTTGAGCGGGAGAGAAGCCATGGCGGGAAATGGATATAGTCCCTCCAGTTGCAGCAGAGTGTGACACTGTGAAGAAGATAGTTAGTTGTTACTTTTTTAACCGCTCATTTCTTTCCCTTTTTATTTATTTATTGAAAAATCAACATTTTGATTTCTCAATTATTTTTTAATCGTCAATAAGTCTCTAATTTTTAATTTTAATCATTGAATTATTTAAAATTTCGCTAATTAAACAATAAATCAAGAATAATGCTACAACAAAAGTGTTATTATCTTGAAGTTATTGTGACTAATTTTCTAAAATTTAGACGTACATTTTATATTCGAACTAAACATTTAGATTTCTAATTAGATCGATCCCATTCATTATTCTTAACTAGAATATTTAAAGTCACAAAATTCTCGCGAATTGAACATTCTACTCAGAGGTCAATCCTACAACCTTATATAATGTCCAATGTGTCACTGTTTTAATTAGCACACGACCTAAGTTCGGAATTCATATCTTAATAATTACTAAATTTTATATTTTTTATCCTAAATAACAATGATATATCATGTACATTGAATTGAAGCCAAAAGTTTTTCCATCTTTTTTAAAAGTTTCATAAATCTTTAAAATCATCGAAAGTTCTAATATATATATATATATATATATATATATATATATATATATATATATATATATATATATATATCAATTTGTTATTATTATATATATATTTACTCTTTAATTTATAATATTTTCAAAGATAATATCATAACTCATAAGTCATCTTCCATCAACTTTGTGGACCCCTTACTTAGCTTCATCATTATTTATGCAAAAAATTCCAAAACACAAGCCAAAGGTGACAAACATGTTTCCCCCATTTGGTTACATGTGCACATGCAAAGAATTCCACATCCTTCCCCAAGCAAAAATAATTAATAATAAAAAAAATGAAATCCGTGAAAGAGTTTGAATCAATTAATTATTAGTCATCTAGTTAAAATTTGGTTAAATATATTATTTTTATTTATTTGTAAGCTTGAATACTTTGCGGTAGTTTATAAAGGAATAGTTAAGGCAAGTATGGAAGTTAAAGAGTTTTGAACCGTATTTTTTGGAAATTAAATAAATAATTTTTACGATTTAATTCGAATTAAATCCAAATTAGGATAAGAAAGCAGGACGGCGGGATATCATATGCTAGAACAATGAGTTTACATTATTTCAAATGTTCTGTTGGGTCGGGTGTGAGACCCCTTGGAGTTGTGAATTTTAACATTTTGGGAGAAAGAAAGAAAAAAAAAAAAAAAGTTTATTTCTCATAATCCCTCCCTCTTATCCAGTACATATTACATGCGGAGAATGTGGTAAAGATTCTCGTCACGTTCTATCCCACTGTCGCTTTTGGGCATTCTGACGAAACACAACAGTCTTTTGAAGCCACCAAGAATGTCGATCGAATCTTTTGATTTGTCACATGCGATATGATGATGAACTTTTACAGATCAAACATCCTTAAACAACAACCGTACCAGTACTCTTTCGATGATATATATGCATCAATTCTGATATCAGATATGATAATATAATCTCCTGCGGCGAGCATTGTATATGGACGACAGATCCCCATGTTTCCTGTTATGTGTTCCAATCCCACCCCCAGATTGGGTTTTATCAACTCCCCATCTTTCTTAGGTGGAAAGCATCACAAAGCTAGAAGCTTTAATTTATACCCTAACATTTTAGGGCAATTGGTCAACGGAATCATTAATGTAACTACAATTTTTGAGCATAGGAGTATAGGACCAACCTATGTCCTATGTAAACAAAAAAATGCTACAAGCTTTATAATTCAGCATTTCGGAACAGTTGGTCAATAGACAACTAATGTAACAACGAGGTCAAGAATAACCTTATAGCAAAAAAAAAAAGAAAGAAACTTTATAATTTAGCATTTGAACAGTTGATAAATTGATTGTTAATGTAGCAAACTAGCAACAAGTCTAAAGATCCATCTATAATAAAAAAAGTTAAAAACTTTATGATCATAACAGTTTGAGATAGTTAATCAGTGAATCCGATCCACTTATGCTATAGGCAAGAAAAAGGTGGAAGATTTATTGGTGGGAACAATATGATGGAGGAAAAAGTAATTGGTAAATAATGATAAGGCAAAATGGTGTGTTTTTCTCATAAAGCAACCATTGAAATCATTGGGGGTAATAAACGTGTTTGCCATTGAAGATCAGAGAGGGTGAGAGGTGAAAACTTTGAAAGAGAAAGGGACCAGCTACCAGAAGTGGTTGAAGACAGAAAGGGTCCATGTTCTAATCAGGCAATCACGTGGGGTTGCCTCTATAAAACAACAAAATCTACTCCCCTCCTGCAACTTCCTCAATCCTAAAAACCATTATATTGCCAACCCTTTTTTTTCCCACTTTTCAGCTTTCCAATCACGTTTCTTGATTTCCTCTCCATCACCATCGCCATTTTTTTGCAGCTAGGGTGGGTGCTAGTGTGCTACTGCCTAAAAGGAGCATCAAGATTCTGCCTTTCTGAGTTTCTGGGTAATTTCTTGATACCCTTTAGTGAAAAACCAGTTAAGAAAGGCAGAAAGCAGACATTTTTAATTCTTGAAATGCTTGAGCCATATCTGTGTGTTTTGTGTTCTTTCTTTTTGGGTTTCCCTCGGAAGGTGGATGGAAGTTTGGCAGTGCAGTCACTTAATAGGGATGTGGGTATAGTAAATGTTTTTGTCCATAAATCCCCATTATTTCCGTGGGGCTCAAACTTGGTGTGATTGTTTTTTTTTTTTTTTTTTTTTTTATGATGAGAGAAACCATAGTCCGAATGTGTACTGAGTAAACTTTAGTCAGCAAATGACCACAAAGAGGTCAATCAGCTTAGGTTGCCCATTGTTGGTTGGCTCAAATTAAGAAAGCTAATAGGTCATAGAGGTAAACCAGTCTAGGTTTGCCCATTGTTAGTTGGCTCAAATCAAGAAAGCTAATAGACCATAGAGGTAAACCAGTCTAGGTTGCCCATTGTTGGTTGGCTCAAATCAAGAAAGCTAATAGACCATAGTGGTAAACCAGTCTAGGTTGCCCATAGGCATGACTGACTCAAATAAAAAAGGCTAACAAGTTGCTCCCACTGGAGTTTAACTTGTAACGTTGTGGTTACTAAGTTAACAGTGTATGACCAACTTTGTTTGGGTTGCCCCCGGTGTGATTGATTTGGATAATGCAGATGTGAACTGTCTGTTGGGTCATGTGCTTCTGGCTGGCTTTCCATTTGCAATTTCCTGCTTTCTTCTGACTGGCTGGGATGCTAATTATTAATATGAACTTGAAAGAGTGCTGTACTTACATTGCTTTCATGGTTGAACCTAACACTGATTTTGGCAAATTTCTTGTTCTCCAACAGCAAACTATCAACATCCCACCACAAAGTTATCAGCTTTAACCCAAATGCTGTATAGTGTTTTCATAATGAGAGAACAGGATGAGTAAAAACTAGATTTTGTGCAATTCGTCGGGTTGCTCGAGCTGAATTTTTACTTTTTATTTGTCAAGATGAAAGGCTGCAGAATAGCAAAGATGCAAGTATGCCATGTGAGGACTTCCTTTTTTGTCATATGATGCTGCTGCTCTGTCGTATTCATCCACGAAAATATCATTCGTTTGTTTATAAAACCAGCATAATCGGCTCAAAGTTCCATCAAAACTGATTAAATCAGTGCAGGAATCTGGAGAAAAAAAAAAAACATGGATCTTGAGAATGGCAAGTGTTGGGACACTGCAAAGGTACATTTCCTGGGTATTGTTGCATTTGGAGCCGGACTATGATGTTCTGAATCTTAACGAAACGATTTTCCTGTTGCAGAAGGGTTCGTGGAAGACGACGTTGATCCTAGCATACCAAAGCCTTGGGGTGGTGTATGGGGATCTCAGTATCTCCCCTATCTATGTCTACAAGAGCACATTTGCAGCAGACATTCATCACTCCGAGACGAATGAAGAAATCTTTGGTGTTCTGTCATTTGTTTTCTGGACTTTAACTCTTGTCCCTCTATTCAAGTACGTGTTTATAGTGCTTCGAGCTGACGATAATGGAGAGGGTAAGTAACTAAGTAATAAGTATCCACAGCCAATAATACCCGAAAGAATGTTATCGTTTTCTGATTTCTGATATCAAATCGTTGGACTGTTCGTTCTTGTGTTGCAGGTGGTACTTTTGCACTGTATTCTCTGATATGCAGGCATGCCAAAGTTAGCCTTCTCCCAAACCGACAGATTTCTGATGAAGCTCTTTCGACTTATAAACTCGAGCCCCCACCCGAAACCAAGAACAGCTCGAAGGTGAAAGTGGTGCTCGAAAAGCACAGATCACTCCACACTGCACTGCTAATCTTGGTTCTACTTGGCACTTGTATGGTCATTGGAGATGGACTGCTTACTCCAGCCATATCGGGTATACATACATTTCTGGTTTGGTTTTAGTATGTTTTCCCTCGATGATTTCTCTCCATGGCTGACAATCCAATCTACTTGATCTGCAGTTTTCTCGGCAGTTTCTGGGCTCGAGTTATCCATGTCTAAAGATCACCACCAGTGTAAGCTTCGTCTTCGTTCCTTAACAGTTACCCATATCCTGCCAAACCGAATCCAGTTTTGTCATGTATTTCCATGAATCTTATGTTTCAGATGCTGTGATTCCTATTACCTGTGTCATCCTAGTATGCCTGTTTGCGTTACAACATTATGGGACACATCGAATTGGTTTTGCTTTCGCCCCGGTTGTGCTTGCTTGGCTGCTCTGCATCAGTGCTCTCGGATTGTATAACATCTTCCACTGGAATCCCCATATATACAAAGCTCTTTCCCCTTATTACATGGTTAAGTTCTTGAAGAAGACTAGACAAAGAGGGTGGATGTCATTGGGAGGAATTCTTCTCTGCATTACTGGTAAAAAGCCTTCAACTTTTGACGGTTGAGTATATAAAATATAAATGCGTAGTTCAACTATTAGCTTAGACGAGGCAGAACAGAACAGAACGTATCCTATCGAAACAAGACCCAGACAA